TAAATCTACCACTCTCGAAGCACTAAGTTTAATGAGATAGACGTGAATTAGACTTACTTATAAGTTAAGATTGTAATATGTGTATAATAATTTAATCCAATCCTTTACCTTTGCATCAACACGGCAGCAGCACCGAAAGCACTGAGAGCGATAAAAAAACTCAACGCACGCGCTCCTTTGATTTTGGTTAAGGAAAAATCAGAAGCAGCAATATCGACATCTCCTTGGTCGATTTGTGCGGCGAAATAAATGCCTATAATTTCGTTAGGATCCGACCCCGTAGCCCCGATTACGGTGGCAACGTTCAGCACCGCCGTGTAAGCAAGATTTACCAGCAGATCTGTTTGATATAAGTTATTGATAAACGTTCGAGCAAAGCTGTATCTCGATTAAACGATATTACTTACACAATATGGTTACTATCCCGATTGCTCCTGTGTTACTTATCAAGAGGTTCCTAGAGGATTCTCCTGTATCAAATTCCTCAGTGAGATCTGGAGAAAATAAGTCAAAATGTATATGCAGATCACGAAAAACTACTCCCATTCATATGTGATATGCTTAATTTGATGCTTACAATTGAGATTATTCCAGCCCGAGTACGCAAACAGAATCGTTAGCATTGCAGTTATATATCTTTGAATCCATTCCGTAGTGCTAACGTTCTGATAAAAGGCTGGACCGGCGGGAGAAAACATGTCCCAATTTACGTTTTTGTTATTCACCCTCTCTGCCGATGCTTTTGCGAATGATAGTCCGAGTACGACGACAGTTAATACCGTTAAGACTTTTATCGTAACCAACACCTGGTTGATCTTATTCGACCATTTGTTGGAGAGTGAATGGTACAGAGCTATCACTGCAAGAATTGCCACTGTAGTTAACTTGAGTCTCCTATAATAAACAAGAAATAAGCAAATAATTCATAGATAATTTCTATTCAAAACGTCATGTTTGAATCGTGGTTTATTACCAGAAATTGTGTCCGTTAAAATATAGAGGATGAAACGCCTCGTATAACTCGCATCCTTTGCTATTTAATCCCAGCATAAATAGCAAGTATTGGGCACAAACATTTGCTACCGCCGATATTGTAGCGGGTCGAATTAATCTAAAAGCAACAGTCAATATCCCATCCATTATCTACGCGAAACTAATCGATTGTTTTCTTGTACTCACATTATGTACACCATGGTGAACGAGTAACTGAGGAGGAGACTGGGTCTCGGGAAGCTGTGTTCCAGATAAGTCGTCTCACCAGCACCAGTTGGAAACTGAGCTCCTAACTAGGTAAAGACAATTTATGTATAATGTTATTGAAATTGTTCGAAATTCACGTGATATTTAGTAAAAGATCCGTAATAGAATTTATGACTTAGTTGTTCAATATTTTACTTACCTCTGTATACGTTAACGTGCCGCAAAAGCTCGCGATTCCGCCGACCAACCATAACAGTAAAGCAATCCACGGTGATCCGACGTTTCGCCATACAGTACCTAGAGTGGTCAATAATGGCGGTGAATGATGATAACATTTTATGCATATAAATACCAAAGTACCCAAAGTTACCAGGAGACGAAAAGATCCCTGTTAAAACAAAAATTTCTCAGTCATTGCTTCTTTGTTGAATTAGAGAGAAATATAACAAGCTGCTTACCAGCGCCAATCATATTGTTGACATTATTGCCCAAACCACTGAATACGCCTATAAACCTTTTCCTTTGATGTTGAGCCATTTTAGAGACTTGGGGATGGTAAAACTACATCAATCTCGCTGCGTATTTATACGTCTTGGACAACATAATAAGGCACTGAAGTACAAATTTTTAATTTCTTTGTTTTGAAATGCAGTTATACCAAATACCGGTTACTAAATATAATTTGTTGTACCATAACAATGGTACAACAAATTAAATTCACCCACATATCGACGTTTCGGCAGCGAAGGTTTCGAACGCAACGAAATCACTGTTGCTATAAGAGACAGGATAACATAATGTATCATTAGCATTAGAACAGCAATCAAAATAAACGATACATAATTGTATGCAAATACAAGAATCATACTCCGCATTTATATTTAGATTCAATATATTGTAAAAATTGCCTTTTCTGGTCAACCTACTACAAATACGGTTCCATTAACTGTGAGACCAAAGCTGTTATTCAATTACTAGCGCGAGGAACTTTTATTCGCAACGTAAAGCCCGATTAAGCTGTTTTTATCTATCTACTTGCGCATAGAAGAAGAGGCTGCTATTCCAACTACCAGCAGCCCAAAGTTTTGTGCCAGTTCTTTGTAATAGGCTAAAAATAATGTGCCAATGGCTGATGGTTTACACCGTTCCCTTAGCAAGATCAAATTTGGTAAAAGATTCGCCATTACTATAGAATATTCGATAACCCCCTTGTGTACCGTGCCCAGTGATCCGACGTTTCGCCATACAGTGCCTAGAGTAATTAATAATGGCGGTGAATGATATGAGACGAAAAGATCCCTGTTGAAACAAAAACCTCTTAGTCATTGCCTCTTTGTTGAATTAGAGAGAAATAAAACAAGCTGCACCAGCACCAATCATATTATTGACATTATTGCCGGCTACACCGTTTTTTTTTTTTTGCTGCCGACGATCCATTAGAGACTTGTAAGTATTTTAAACAGGGAAGCCATTTATTCGACAATTTGTGGAACCACATCAATTTTGCTGCGTATTTATACACATACTGAAATACAAAACAACAAGTATTTCTAATTTCTTTGTGGTCTTCGTCAGATTTGGGAATATTGATCACCAATTGTGTTAAATCGTTACATTCATTTTCTCAAATTGTATGAACAATGCCAGCAATCCTTAATAAAAAATCGTGACATAAACATACCGGTTACTAATATAATTTGTCGCACCCATAACAATAGATCAAATATTTGATATATATTATTTAAATTAATATCATCTATGCAATGTCGTTCGAATTTGCAACATCTCATATTCTAACCTAGAAACATACCGTATTTCACGGACTAAAGTACCAGTGGTATTTACAAAACCCTGTTATACCATACACGGGGTGGTACTTTGATCGGATAGTGGTACTATGATAGGACTTAAAAAGATTTTGCATCTTACGAAACACGAATAAAATTTGCAACATTTTGTTTGCTTTAATATGAGAAAATAATTCGAAAGGCACGTATTACATGTAAACAGTGTCGTTCTTGGTGTTTTAGAGAGGAATATATGGTGATATAATAAGCACGTTTAATAATAAGCGGTACTTTACAAGTATTTTGTGTAACAACTGATCATAGTACCATGGTATTTTACATTCCATGAGCTTCAAAATGGGGGTACTGTAGTCCGTGAAATACGGCAAGTGTCCGAATTTGTCAACTGCGGCCTATACTGTTTATGAATTTTCGAACTCTATTAAAATTTCTCTCTACGCTTTTAACAAAGTTGTAATCCTCGACCTCTATGATGCGTTTAGTCTTCGTGAGGTAATATTCTAGTTTACGGAAGAATTTTTGGTCTTCGTTGGCAACTGTAACATATAAGGTAAACAGGGGTAATTTGACGAGTATGGGTAATCTGGCAAATTTTAGGGTTAGGGTTAGCAGAATTACTAATTGTCGATAATGCACTATAATGGAGCCGATAAGATCAAAAGCAAGAAGATTTATAGTCATTACAATCATACTATAGAAAAGTAAAAGCATTCTTCAACGGGTCCGGTTCATTTCATCGACAATCATTTCGCCGACAGTACGTTTCACCGACATAAATTTCATCGAAAACCAAT